TATATATATATATATATATATATATATATATATATATATATGTGTGTGTGTGTGTGTGTGTGTGTGTATATGTATATGTTTAGATATATGTATGTATGTATATGTATATGTATATGTATGTATGTATGTATGTTGTTTGCGGGAAAATTTAAAGGAATTAATGAGAATTGAAAATTGTAAAAATCTCTCTAACTGACTTAGACAATGGCTATTACAATCCTTTTATTGGATTCTCGATTACAAAAGAGAGAAAGATCAACGAAAATCATTCCCTTTGTTTAATATTGAGTTCTTCTTTGTGGCGATGAGAGCTTGAGTCTTGTATCTCGTTGACGATCTGAACACTTTGCTTCGTGGAATGTCTATCTTCACTTCTGACTTTTACGTCGGGAGGAACTTGCTAAGCAAGTTTTTTGAAATCTGGCCGAGTTGGGAACTCTTGGACAGAGTTAATTTCAGCAAAGGTAATCAATCCCTTAAGCCAAAAAGCTGATCTTTTGATCTTTTGAATTCAATGTAAATAGAATTCAAGATTATATTCCCTCCTCCTTTCTCCTTCTTCTTTTCCTCCTCCCTTTTTTTCAAGCTGAAACGTCAACTATTTATAGACATTTAGGGGTGTAACCGATCCCCTAAATCTCTCCATAATAGGGGCTTAATGACCCTCATTATGTGGAAAACAGTTTTGAACCTTTCAAATTATGTTTGAAACAGTCAAACATGGGGCTTACGTTCTAAAGTGAGCCTCACATTCGGCTTTGTGAAATGCGGGGGTGACCCTCGCGTTTGAAGTTTGGAACGCGAGGGTGAACCCCCGCGTTTGGCACTGAAGAGATCATCGATTGTAATCTCTTCTTCAAATCTACAAGGATCGCCAGCTTGTAATCCTTACATTTGGCGTGAGAGTCGTCAATTTGTAACTCTTCCTCATTGGGAAATGCTGGGATGACCCTCGTGTGAAGGTGGACCCTCACTTATAAACTTGGAATGCGGGGGTGACCCTCACGTTTGGCCTTTGGAATGCAGGGGTGAACCCTCGCTTTTTTGCCTTAGAGATTCCTAATCATTACTCGGTTGAGCAATTATCTTTTCTAAATTTTTTGTATTGATTGCTGGTTTAGTGGTCCTTCACAAAATTTGCTTTGGGATTTGTGAATTAGTATATGCATTACTCTTTGTGTATAGTAACCAGGTCAAAACTCTCCATGCCATGGAGTAGCTATTTCAGTGAACGACCTTTAAGAAAGGTAAAAGAGCGGGAATTCTCAAAGTCGAAGTGGCGATATTAGAATCCCTTAATGTTGTCTATATCGTGCAACAATCATGATGTCCAAGCTGTAGTAATTTTTAGACAGCCTACAAAACCCCCTCCAAAGTTTTTGAAAGTTCACGGTTGACTGGACGAATTTTCTAAATACTTTGGATCTCGATTCTGTTTGATCTTGGAACAATGTACTGTTGATTCTTTGTCATAATGGAATTGCTCACTGCATCTGTCTCGAAGGCACCATGAATTTGGTTGAAGAGATTTGACACGAAAGACTCGAGTTTTGCTTTTGCAAATGCGAGGGTCGCATTTAACCTTTGAAACGCAGAGGTGAACCTCGCGTTTAGTTTTTGGAATGCAGGGGTGAACCTCACGTTTAGTTTTAAGAACGCGGGGGTGACCCTCACGTTTTGACACTAAAGTCGAACCGACTTTGATGAACGTGAGGATCATGTTTGGGTGAGATTCTTTCCTAGAATCCCGTACTAATCATGACAGCTTAGCTATCTATAAATAGACCCTCGGGTCAAATAAGAGTCAAACTGACTCTTTCTTCTTCAACGAGAAATCTCGTTCTTCTCTGGCGGTCTTTTGCTCTTCCTCACCGTCGACGAAACCCATGGCGCCACCAAAGGTTCTTCCAAATCTAAGAAGGCCGCTAGAGCCTCTTCGAACGCGCCGTCCCGGCGGCATCACCACTGACACTCCGCTTATTAGCGATAAGGGATTCAGGCTTAAACTTGTTCAACAAGTTTTTTTTTCACATTCAACGTGAGGCTCGTGTTTTGAACATTGATCCTTGTGTGAAATGCGAGGGTCGCATTCTGAATGTTGATCCTCACGTGGATCGTGAGGCTCGCGTTCTAAATGTTGACCTTCACGTTAGACGCGAGAGTCGCGTTTTGAATGTTGACCTTCATGTTGGACACGAGAGTGGCGTTCTGAATGTTGACCTTTGCGTTAAATGCGAGGGTCGCATTCTGAATGTTGACCTTTGCGTTAAATGCGAGGGTCACTTATCTGATTAAGTATTTTAGACTTTTTTAGTTCATCTATTTTCAGATACTAACTGTTGTCTTTCTCTATGCAGTGCGCTATTCCATCGAGCCCCTCTCTTTGCACCATCATTTTGGT